TACTACCTCTGAAAACTTGAGCTGTTTCTTTATCTCTCTAAAGCCTCAGTTTCTCATCTGTGAAATGAGGGGCTCATCCTACCTTGCAGACTTGTTGGGAGGCTCATGTACATGACTTTGGAATTTCTTAGGCTCCAGCCCAGGCTCTCTACAATCCCTGGGTGACCTCTTCCCAGCCAGGTCCCCTGCACCCAGCATAGAGCCAGGCACTCAGCAGACACTCAGTGAATGCTCACTGAGAGAATAAATGAATATAGCACATTGAGCACTAACTTGACACATTACTTGGCACCTAGTAGGTGCCTAATAAGGGGCCAGCTGTCAACATTAATCTCAGGTTCTGTACTGGCACGCTGTGTGACTTTGAGCAAGTCACCTTCCTTCTCTGAGCCTCAGCTTCTTCACCTATAAAATGGGGCTGTTCATTTGGATCTTGTGCTCTATTCTATAAATCACTGGTAGATGATTATGGTGTAGGAACTAACTTAGGACACTGCTCTTCCTGAAAAGAGATGGGTTAAGGGAAGAAATACTATATGAAGAGCTGTTGCACAGATGAATGAGGTTATGCCAATTCTCCTTCTCCCTCAGCAAGGAGAGAGCTACCTGGATGGGCCAAGGTTGCTGGGCAGGACTGGTGTCTTTGGGCACTCTGCGTTAAGCAGCCATGCCCAGCACAGAAGGTCTGCGCTGATACTCAGTGCGCATGAGTGCCCATTATATGCCATGCACTGAACTGGACTGAAAATGTTCTTGGAGGTGAGAAAATGTGATATTTCCTAGTGAGTATCAGAGGGCTCTGATCCCCATCCCAGGCCCTTATTGTAGAAGGAGTTGGCTGGGTTTCTATACTAGTTTTTGTTTTTAAAGATTTTATTTAGGGGTGCCTGGGTGGCTAAGTCGTTAAGTATCTGCCTTCAGCTCAGGTCATGATCCCGGGATCCTGGAATCCAGCCCCGCATTGGACTCCCTGCTCAGCGGGGAGCCTGCTTCTCCCTCTCCCACTCCCCTTGCTTGTGTTCCCTCTCTGTCTCTCTCTGCCAAATAAGTAAATAAAATCTTTTATAAATAAATAAATAAATAAATAAATAAATATTTTGAGAGATAGAGAGCATGAGAGGGTGGGGGAGGGGCAGCGGCAGAAGGAGAGAGAGAATCTCAAGCAGACTCCATGCTGAGTGTCGAGCCCTCGACTCTGAGATCTTGACCTGAGCCGAAATCAAGAGTCAGATGCTTAACCTACTGAGCCACCCAGGTGCCCCGCGTTTCCATAGTTGTGAGCATGACTACTCCCCACACCTCCCTGCCCCCCGGCATTATGCATTTACTTACTGATATCCTCAACAAACCATCATTTTGCCAAGTAGAGGGAGTACAGAATGAGCTCCTAGTCTGGGAGCAGTAGGTAGGGCGCTAGGCATAGATATTTTCAACCAGGGGTTGAAGACTTCCTGCCTCTGGGGCTACATAGATTTTTTTGTGGTGGCCAGAGGGGTGAACTTGAGAATATATAGGGGACAGCATGATCTTGCTTCTGCATCTAGTGGTCCAGTGCGCGAGCTGGCTCAGTTCTGCCAGACCTGACCTTCTGATTTCTTTTTTTTTTTTTTTTAAGATTTTATTTATTTACGTGAGAGAGAAAGAGATCCTGTGCGCACATGGGGAGAGGGAGGGGCAAGCAGACTCCCCGCTGAGCAAGGAGCCTATGCGGGGCTCCACTCTAGGACTCCAGGATCATGACCTGAGCCGAAGGCAGACGCTTCACCGACTGAGCCACCCAGCGCCCCAACAAGGGCCCAAGTTTTCATTTTGCACTGGGCCCTGCAAATTATGCAACTGGTCCCAACTGGAGGGAAGGTCTGAGCCCACCTGGTGGGGGGAGAGGGCAGAAGGGATGGCAGGAAATGAATCAGAAAGGGGGTCAGTTGGGGCATCTGGGTGGCTCAGTTGGTTAAGCATCCGACTCTTGATTTCAGCTCAGGTCATGAGATTGAGCCCCAAGTTATGCTTGGCACTGGGTGTAGGGCCTGCTTAAGATTCTCTCTCCCCCTCCCCTGCGAGCTCTCTCTCTCCCTCTCTAAAGAAAAGGGGGTCTCAGTTGTACCTGAGGGAAGAGATGAGCAATGTAACCACAGGGCTCAGGCAGGGCGAGCCTGGGGTTTCATCCACTGGGGGGAGGTTGAGGCTGTGTGTGTGAGTGACTGACATGTCAGTGTGCGTGTGACTGTGATGTGTGAGTGTGATACGTGTGGCAGAGTGTGAGTGGACTGACGTGTGTGAGTGTGACTAATATATGAGTGTGACGTGTGAGTGTGACGTGTGAGGGAGCGTGTGACTGACGTGTCAGTGGGACGTGGGTGCGCGCACGTATGGGAGTGGTGTGGCCGTGCAAGACCGCGGAGTGTGTGAGAATGTGTGCGGGCCGGGGGTGTGCAGGTGTGCATGAGCGTGTGTGGGCACCTGTGTGGGATCTGTGACAGTGTGTGCAGAGGGGGAGGTGGTGGCCGGGGCAGGGAGAGGCAGGGAGAGTCACCGGGCGGTTTAACAAATATTTATTGAGCACGTTGCGTGTGCCAGGTGCTGTGCAAGGTGCTGAGATGAGTGCGCGGCGGCCCCTGCCCGGAGGCCCTCACAGCCCGCGGGCGGAGAGAGAACTGGAGGGCAAGCGCGGACTGCAGTAAACCCTTCACGAAACCACAGCCTTACCCACTTCACCCGGGGGGGCAGGGAAAGGTAGCCTTCCCCAGAACTGGTGTTGGGGGGGCAGAATCCGGGCGCTCTCTCGGGGAGGCCCGGGGCCAAAGCCCGCCCCGCAGGCACACCCAAACACGGGAGGGGTGACCTCCCTCCGACCTGCCCCGCAGCATACCCACCCGCTCCCACAGAAGCAGATAAGAGGTGACCGGCAGCCAGGGGCACAACCTAAACAGCCCAGCCCCACCCAGGGAGCCGCACAGCCCTGGGCGGAGGCAGGGCCCATCTCTGGGGGGTCGGCTCAGGGGCTCCAGAGCTGGTGAGAGCTGGGGGGATCGAGAAAGGCCAGCCTTGGGCTCTGCAGCATCCTGAGGGGGAAGAGGGTGGAGAGCAGTGTTGGGGCGAAAGACAACTTGAGTAAGAAACATGTCTGTCGCTCGCCGGGGCCAGAGGAGCCCTCCCTGCCTCCCCAGCGCCAGGGCTGCCCAGGCGCCCTCCTGGGCTCCCCTCCCAGAGCTGCAGCATGGGGGTACTGCCGCCCGGGCTCCCGCAGGGGCAGGAGCCCTCGGATCTGGCCCCCCGCTCACCTGGCGGGGGTGACCTTGGGCCAGCCACTAGCCTCATCAGGGACCTGGGGACGCCCAGTCTCCTCAAAGGGCTATGGTGTGGATGAAATGAGATAATGGGATGAGGAAAGCACCTCATAAACAGAAAATGGCGGGACAAAGGTCAGAGTGTAGTGCTGGGCCCAGAGCCGCCTCCCAGCCCTTCGGCAGAGGACAAAGGGGCTCAGCCCCAGGGTCCCAGCTCCCCTCCCCCACTCAGACCGACGGGTGGGCACCCAAGGCCAGTGGCTCCGTCTTAGAACTGAAGACGCTGGGGAGCAGGGCAATGTGCTTCGAGTTCCTAAGGTTCATCCCGCACTCCTGGCTGGGCAACTCCGGCGACAAGGGTCACCTCTCTTTAGGGTATGAAGACCCCCCGAGATAACATGGGCCGAAAAATCAGCGGTGCCTAGCACCTCTTCATTTCTAAGACATGAGGTCATTCTTAGGCTAAGTTGCCAAAGGCTCCCCAGCCGAGAGGTGGCCTGACCCGCACAGAGACCAGGGCTGTTCGAGGCTAACCCTTCCCCTTACTCACGTCGACTAACCTGCTTGTGCAGTCACAGGAATACTTGGTCCAAAATGGCTCCAGAAGATTCTAGCTTCCTTCATGACCCCACTAGCCTCCCCAACCAACTTCCCCACTTCCCTTTTTACTATTCCTTATTTCTCCAGAGCAAGGCCCACTTCCACACGTCTGGTTTTCTAAGCTCCCTTCCTTACCCACAGCCTTCAGTGAATAATCTGCTATTTCCAAGACAACTAAACAGCATTTTAAACTTACAAAGTGCCTTTTTAATGTGCTCTATGGAGTCTGAAGCCTCAAACTTAAGGAGCTTTCCACTGGAAGATACTCTTCATGAGGAACCATACGCACGCCTCCTCTTAGTAAAATCCTCTCCTAGAACCTGGCTGCAATATCACTGGGGAGACATAGCAACATACTTCTGGAATGTACTGAGGATTAAGTCAGAAGAGCCCTAACCCTGGGGACACCCCCAGGGTAAAAGCTACTGAGCACCAAGGTGCTGCCCTAGAGGCCTTGGCTGAGTTGCTGGCCCTATTGAACCTCACTTTCTGCATCTGTAAAATGGGAGGGATAAATCTCCCTCTCTCTTTTTGGGAGAGGATCAGGTGGGCCGAGGGGCTGTCTGACACAGTGCCTCGCGTACACGAGGCTGGCAAACGTTTATTCCTTCCCCCCTTCTTTCTTATCAAGTACTCATCTCCATTTTGTTTTCTCTCTTTGGGGCCAACACGGCTGGAGTCTGAAGGGTCTATCCCATAAGGCTCGATACGTAATTCTAGACTTCTTAGAGAGCGTTGGATCCAAACCCCAGCCTTTCAGCAAGGAAGCAGGCCCAGAGGGCTGACTTGGCCAAGGTCACCGCGCAAATGTGTCGCGGCAGCCGGGCTGGCCCAGTGTCTGGCTGGCCGAGCTCATGCCCTTGCTTGCACGGAGCCTGGGAAGCTTTCTCAGTCTCACCTTGTTTCCTTTGCTTGCCCTCCAGCACCCCCAGGGCAGCTTGTCTGTAAACCGAGCCCTCCTGCTCTCGGACACCTGTCCCTACCCTGCAGGCCTGCCTCTGCCTTCACCCCCAGCCCGGTAAAGCTCCTGCCCCGCCCCTCCTCCAACCCCACGGCCTCATCCAATCCAGAGGCCCACATTTCAGTATGCAGGTAGCTAAGACAAAGGTTAGAAAAAGCGCAGAAGACACTTTATTGGAGGTCTCTGCTTCCATTCACAGGAGAAAGGAGCCAGGAGCCCCAATCTGAGGGTCCCGGCATCTCCCCGCCCCTCACTGGCCCAGCCAAGGGCCTAGAACAGTCAGTCTGACCACGAACACGTGGAGGGAGAGGAGCGGGGAGGGGAATGTCTTAGAAAAAATAGATCTCTATGTACATCTGACGTATTTATAGCACATAAATTAGGGAGTGCTCTGACCCCTGCCTGCGGGGTCCAAGCACTGAGGTGGAGGCCGGTCCGGAAAGCAGGAGGCAGGAGGACCCCGTCTTGCCCCCTCTCTCGCAGCACCCCTGCTGCTTTTTCCTGGCCTCCTTGGCTCAGTCCAGGCATCTGGAGGCGGAAGGCATCATCTGTAGCTGCTGTCTGTGTTGGGTCTGGGAGGCACCAGGTAAGAGGAACGATGCTGGGAACTGTGGTCAGCTGACCGGTCACCTCAAACCCCAGGGCTCGTAATTCCAAGAGGAGGGCAGAGAGGAGAGGCCGCAAGCCCCAGATCCCAGGATGGCGGCTGAACAAGGAACCCGAACCTCAGCTTCTCTCCACGGCATGGCCCCAGCCTGCCCGAATGGTGGGGGCCTGGTAGTCCTCCCAGGAGGGGCTGCAGGCCTCAAGTCCGTGCGTTTGGTCCTGGGTCCTGTTCGGACCCTCAGTTCCGACTCCCGGCAACCTCTTCCTCCTTCCAGCCGCTGGAGTTCTTGCCGAACTTGTAGACCAGCCGCCGGCCATCCACCCGCTCCAGGATCTCCCGTTTGTAGTAGTACCTGGGTGCGGACAAGGGTGGTCAGACGGGCCCGGGTAGGGAGCAGCCCGGACTGCTGATGCCCTCCCCCCACCGCCCCCGATATCCTCACGGGGCCTGGCCCACTGGGTTCCAGCTTATCGTGAAACCACGTGATTTTAGGGCTGGAAGGGACCTTAGTGATCGTTCAGGGGGAGACTGAGGTCCAGACAAGCAATCTAATTGATTCAATAGGGGGAAAGCCAGGTCTTGGTGGAGGCCTTGGCTCAAGCTCTTTTCACCACTAAGAACTTTTCTCAGGACAAGCCTTGCAGATAATGCAAAGAAACGTTGCCAGAGAGAGTTCGCTGTGTTTGCTATGCCGACCTACTGCTTTCTCCATGTCATCCTTTAATCCCAGAAGTGGGCAGACACTATTATCCTCACTCTACAGGACTCAAACCTGTCAGGAGGGTGGTGGTCAGAGAGCCGTGGGAGCGGGGACAAGCTGTCCCCGGCAGCATCTGCTCACCTCATGGCTCTGCTCAGCTTCTCGTAGGTCATGCTGCTATTCTTCTTCTTTTGGCCCCAAAGTTGGGCCACAGCCTCTGACCGCAGGAACTTGAAGACACCCTCTTGCCGGTTCTCCCACTTCATGAGGCCTTCATTGAGTTCCGGGTGGATGAGGATGTCCCGGATAAACTCCCACAGGTGGGTGCCTCTGGGGGCTGCAAGGCCAGAGGCTTCGGTCAGAGGCCAGGGTAGCCCCTCTCCTCCGAGACCGGTGGGCCCCCCGCCTGGCCCAGCACGCCGCCCCCGGATGGCTGCGCCGTGTCACGGCTGCTCCCTCCCGCCTCCCACACCAGAGGGGGCCTGCCTCTCACACAGCACAGATGTCTTATGCGCTCCAATACTGATCCTGTGTCTGGCTGGGATTTGAGTGACTGAGACCCACTACCGCCTGAAGGGGCCCATGGTTCGGTGGGTGCCACCGGGAAAACGCAAACACACCAACAGGTGGTGAGAGCTTGGCGAGTACAGGACCAGGGAGCTGGCCCTGGCCTGGGGGATGAGGGGACAGCTTCCTGGAAAAAACAGCCCCCTGAAGACAAGAAGCAAGCCAGGCGAGGCGCAGCGTGTGGCGGGAGGGAGGCTGCCCGCACGAAACGGAGGCAAGGAGCTGGGGGCCGTCACCCAGCGGTTCCCAGCGGCCGGCTGGCGCACACCAGGGCCTGAGGCCTGCAGCAGGGTCACGGTCCTCTGCCTGAGCCCCCTGCGGCCCCGCGGGCCCTCCCAGCACCCACCAGCTGCCCCCTCACACCACCGAGGGTGTCCCAGCAGGCAGGACAGAGCAAGTGCAGAGAGACTGGAGTGGGTGGGCCGCGAACCTGGGCTCTAGTCCCACGGGCCTTCTTCCAGGGGCCTCAGTTTCCCCTCCTCTCCAGGACCACTGACCTAGGCTCTGCAAGGAGGTGGTGACCAGTGCCACACAGCCTCGGGCCCCGTGCACAGCCAGGACGGCGGCAGGGAGGAGCGGGGTGGACAGCCGGCGAACACGGGAGAAAGCAGCCCCAGTGGCGCCACAGTGAACCTGCCGCCCGCCCCACCCCCCAGGCCTCAGAGCAAAGGGGGGGACCCCAGGAGCTCACCATGCTTGCTCTTCTTGCCCTCCAGACACTCCCGAGACTCTTTGCTCAGCTTTCGAGGCCGACCCCGTTTCCGCTTCCCGTGCTTAGGATCCCCCTTCTTATAGTCGGGAAAGCCGTCTAAGACAGGGGAGGTGCAAGGTCAGGAGGGGAAGGAAGGGGGGGCTCGAGGGGGCAGCTCCTGCAGGGAGACCCTGCAGGCGAGCAGGGATGAGGGGAAGGACCAGCCCCAAGGGCACTGCCCACTGGGACCCCCACTCACCCCTAGAGAAGAGCTTGCTGTCACTGGGATCCAGGTCCACGTCACTTGCACCGGAGTCTGAGGAGTGGGGACTCTGGGAAGTACCAGTTCCTGGGGGGGGTGGGGGCAGAGTGAGTCCATACCTTCTGCAGGGGGATCGCTGCCCAGCCCACTCCTGTTCCTCGCAGAAAGCCTGGGCTCTAGTGCAGGAACCAAGGGCTGCGGGACGTTTGGGAGAAAGGGAGGCTGTGGCCCGGACGAGGGCGCTCACCTGCGGTGGAGACATCGGAGCTGCCGGGGGAGGGGGCTCCTGGGCCGTAGCTGCTAGGGAAGTAGGGGCCGGCCTGCCGGCACTCCTCCAGCATCTCTTGGTTGAAGGGGCTTTCCTGGTCTGGGAAGAGGAGTTAGGGGTTCAGACAGGGTTCTGAGGAACAGGCAGGGACACTAGGCCACCTAGAGGTCCAACGAGCTGCTGTTCTTCTAGCTGGGGGAGACAGAAGTCTGGCGACCAAGGGTCAGCTCTAGTGCTTCAGGGAGAGGCTGAGATGGGATAGGACAAGCTGGGGGATGATTGAGAAAATGAATTCTCACCAAAGGGGCCCAGGGTCTCCTGGAAGGCCATGCTGTCCTTCTCCAGCAGCTCAATGATCCAGCTGAGTTCGTCAGGAAAGCTGGAAGCTGATTGGGAAGGGAGGAGGGGTCAGAGCCCAGGCAGGCGTCCCACTCCCCTCTTCCCTCAGGGCTTCCTTTGCGGTCTGTGCCCACTGGCCTGGGGCTGCAGGTCCTTCCCACAGCCCTGCTGGCCTCAGCTCGGGGTGTGGGCCGTTCCCTAGGCCAGCCTCCCCAGCTGAGAGGGAGGCCTCCCCCTCCAGCCCTGGGCTCCCGGGGGCACCTGCGGCCCGGACTCACTGAGGTCCCACAGCTGGGAATAGAGTTGGTCCCCCAGAGGCCCGAAGACCAGGCGCAGCTCCTCAGGGGCACAGTTGCAGAGTGTGGCCCCGTCCATGTCACACCGCGAGAAGTCGATGGAACTCGCGTCGTATTTGTTCTTCTCCACTTGGTAGCTGATCCAGTCCAGAACCTGGGCCTTTGACCAGAACTGGGGCTGCTTCCCCGACCAGCTGGCCTTCTCTACAAGGGACCGGGCACAGCATCAGGTCAGCTTGAGGCACCCGGACCCTCACCGCCCATTTCTGGCGCCCACTGGGCTTCTGTGTGCATCACCCCCCCCACCCCTCCACCCCCACGTCTCAGAGACCCTGCCGGGAGGAGGGGCAGGGGGTGGCATTCACACCTTCGCCCAGCACCTCACTTAGTTGGTCGCTGCCCCTCAACCCCAATACCTCAGCCTCTTACAAGTCCCCCCAGCCCCTAGTGCTAGAATTTGCTGGGGGGACCCTCCTCCCTGCCTGACTTCCCCATTTATCTAACAGACTCTTAGAGGAATGTCTCTCCCTCCCCCAAACACCCCATCCCACCTGCTGAGACCCACCTGTGCCCTCCAGTGGCATCTGGGGGTTACTCAGGGTCAGCACCAGGTCATCAGCCCCAAAGGTGGCAGCAGGGGGGACGGAAGTCAGAGCGGGCTCTTCTGAGCTGTACATAGTACTGAAGTAGTTGCTAAAGACGTTGCTAATCTCGCAGGTTGCAGCCATGAGGCTACCTGGGGAGAGAGAGGCCAAGGCTGGTGAGGGCCAGGGTCCTTCCCTTACCCTCTGGCTCTTCTGTTCCAGCCAAGCCTGGGGCAGGAGGAGCCCCAAGAGGGGGCGGTGAAGATCAATATCTCTTTGGACACCCTCTCCTCATGGAAGGCTCCAAGATCTCAGCGCCTGCTGCGGGCACTAGGCCTCCCATGGGCCCCCTCCTCAGCCCCCCTGGGCCCTTGGGTGGGACTGGCAGAGTTAGGGCCACTCTGTCCCTCCCAGAGACAGTGCCTCTGCGACCTTCAGGGCGCTCCCACTGCCCGACACTCCTGCTCAGGGGCCCTACAGTGCGCAGCTGCAGTGGGTGGGTATAGAAACTACACATCCCCTCGACCCCTCTCCGTTTCCCAGGGCCCAGGCTGGGCAATATGACAGGTGGGGGGGTCCTACCTGACTGGCGGAGTGTGGGTGTGGCAGGCAGGCAGGATTAAGGGACAGTAGGCAGGCGAGAAATCCAGGAGGCAAAAAGCTGCGCCAGGTAGCTCTGAGGCGTCTGGCCCGCGCTCCCCCACCCGCCCTAAATAGAGGCGTGTGGGAGCTCCTCCCTGAGCCCAGGGCTTTATAGTGCGCCCGGCGGTAACCTGAGCTGGTGGCTCATTGGACGGAGGGGATTTCCTGGCCTTTAGACTGGGCTTCTGGCCCCAGGTGATTTGCATATTTTGTGCCACTTGGCCCGGATCCTGGCAGGCGGTGCTGGGAAATCAGGCCCGGCTGGTTTAATGATTGTCAGAGTCTGTCATCCCGCACCCTCTGGGGTTGGGCACAGGGCACTGGCCTGGGCGGGTGGCAGGAGAGTCGCTGGGGTGGGCATCTGTACTTTCGGCCACCCACTGGTGTAGGAAATTCCTCAGGGGGGCCAGGCCGGGGATGGGCTGGCAGGGGGAAGAGAACAGGGTAGGACTGGGGAGAGCTGCTAGTCCCCAAACGGGTAGAGATGTGAGGGCAAGGGGGCCTCGTAGGGAGAGCAGATAGTGGGGTCGAGGGCATTTTCCAACAATGCCCAGGATTCCTGCTGGAAGGCTCTCCAGACACTAGGCAATATTCATGGGCTCGTCCAGCCTAGCCTCAGGGCCCCAGCGTCCCCCGTGTCCCCAGTAGTCTGCTCGCTGGCATCTACTTCGGTGGTAAAGTCTTGACACGCTTTGCCCACCCGGACCCCCTGCAAGCCGCAGTCACTTCTGGAGAGGTCCGGCTCTCCCTCAGCCCCAGCCGGAGCCCTTGGACCCTGCAGGTGCTGGAATCCGCGTGGCCGTGTTTATCCCGCGCCGTCAGGTCTCCCTTCTAGTCTCCCCGCCCTCGGCCCAGTTGACCGGTCGGTACCTGTCTGCTACCCTCTAGTGGTCGGAAGCCTGCCTCCCTGGGTCCCAGCATTCCACGAAGAAAATGGAACGCTCAGTATTTACCATTTACCAGGCACTTGTAACGTAGTCTCCACTTAAAACTCACAAAAACACTAAGGAATGTAGGGTTGTCTCCATTTTAAAGCTGAGAGCATCTTAGCTCAGAGGGGTTTTGTGACTTGCCCAGGCCACACGGAGCTGGTTACGTGGTGCGGCTGGTGCTCTCTCCCCATAGCAGGCGCGACCTGGCTTCAGGGTCCTCTGCTCAGTGGCTCGGAGGCTCGGCCAGCCCCTCACCCTCCCCATGGGCACGGTGAGTCCTTTGTGTCTGTGGTCCCATCTAAGAACGCAGAGCCCACTGGAGACCCTGAGCACTGGCAGCAGAGGATGGGGGGTGAGGAGTCAGGAGACCTGTGCTCAGGTGACTCCCCAGCTACGTGATTGTTTGTTTCCCCATGGGTAAAAACAAGGTTGTTTGGACTTAATAATCCCTAAGATCTCTTCCAGATCTAGTTTTTTATGTATTGAAGATGTAGGATCTGAGTGTCTCTTTCCGCACCTCCTTTGTTAATGCCACAACCCTGGGTGGCTCATGGCCAAGCTTAGCCTCAGTGGGCGAAATGGCTCCTCATACAGTGACGCCCCCTCCAGAGCTGCCCCCTTCTCTCTAGAGCCAGATGACTAAGAAGGCCATCTCCCGGAATCTTCTCTTTGTCCCTGAAACTGCTGCGCCCTAGGAGAGGGGCTTAGGGTCCAGGGCCCCCTCCACTGGGGTGGCAGGAGAGCCTGGGGCTCTGGCGGTAGGATTTTCCCCAGCCCTTCAGGGGGCCTCCCCCAAGGAGCCTGAGGCGGGCACACCCTCCACCCAGTCACTCACCCTGGAATGTGGGAGAACCGGCTTCTAGCCCCAGGACGGCTCACATGCTCCCCTGCCCTGGGGGACACCTGGCTGAGGCTCCAGAGGGTGGGATGAGAAGGATGTTTGCCTTCCCAGGGCTTCACAAAAGAAATGGGGCTGAGATAAGGAATCCCTATAGGCTAGCACCTTATCTCCCAAGTATTAATGCTTTCAATAATAGCCCAATAGTGGGTGATGTTATGGAGGGTAAGCGGAAAGACTTCAGTCTGAGGTCAGTGCCTTGGAGGTGAAGTGGGGAGAGGTTCTAGGATAGTGGTCAGAGGAGCTGTGGAGTAGGCGGCCTTCCCAATACCCTGCCCACGGCAGGAAGAGCCCCTTGGCCCTCCCCATAAAGCTTGCCCAGACAACGGCACAGCCTCATCTTCAGGATACGGGATGGCAAAAGCACTGCCTCCCAGCCCTGTAAAAGGATAGGCACATCCAGCAGGACTGTTGGGTGGCAAAGGGGTGAGCAGGGCAGGCAACACAACTCAGGATACCCATGCTGTGCACTGTGAGGATGCTCAAAGTTAGTGGGGTCAAAGAGCGGCTGTCAGAGGAAGGGCTTCTCCAGCGACCCTACTATTCTGCCATAGGTATTCGTGCAAACAAGGCAAGACAGCCATGGCTGTCAGAGCTGCTAAGCCAGCCGCCAAGTTGGGGAGCAGGCGAAGCATCTGGATAGCCCTAAAATCATCCTTGCCTATAGCATATCAACAGGGACAGCCCTGAAAGAGCTATGGAGACAGTCTGCCATCAGAATGCCAGGGCCCGGAGGAGATCCTACAGTCCTGTGCCTCCAAATCCCTCTCCTCAGACCCAGAGTTCCCTCTCTGCTGGCGAAGCTCCGGGCGCGCCAGGGGATGGAAGCCCTCACCAGCCTGCACCTGCTCACCGCCATTCCCTAACTCTTGCTAGGAGCGAGAACACATCTATTGAAGTGGCTACTCTGCGTTCTCTTTCCCAACCCAGTGCGGGGACAGCAGGAGGCCTGAATGGATAACCTCAAAGCCAAGGACATGGCCACACATGGAGACTTGGTCAGGAGTGCCCTGTATTGAAGAAAGGCAACTTAGGGGACCCTGGGTGGCTCGGTCGGTTAAGCGTCTGCCTTCGGCTTGGGTCATGATCTCAGGGTCCTGGGATGGAGCCCCACATCAGGCTCCTTGCTCTGCGGGGAGCCCACTTCTCCCTCTGCCTCTGCCTGCTTCTCCCTCTGCTTGTGCTCTCTCTGTCAAATAAATAAATAAAATCTTAAAAAAAAAAAAGGCAACTTAAATATATTTAAATATTGGGTTTTTCTTCGAGACCCTCCCTCAGCTGAGATTCCTGTGTTGAAACCAGGAAATCGGAACTTAGTGCCAAGTTCTGAACCGACTCTATTTCTTACCACACCATTAAAATACTTACCCAGGAAAAAAAAAACCATCCAGGAGCAAAAGCAGGTGAGGCCCAGGGAAGGATGGTGAGAAGGCCAGAGAAAAAACACTAAAATACACATTTTTTAAGCAATGGAACAGATGAACAGGAATGGCCCTGCAGGTAGGGAATTTAGCTGCCTTCACAGAGAACTGGAATGAGGTTTGTTCGCTACAGGCGTGCAATGGGCATACTGCCCTGTATTCTTCCATCTGCAGGTGTGAGACCCCTACCTCCTAGGCCCAGAGTTTCCTGCGGACAGGGAAGTGCTGTCAGCCTCTGGGGCAGCTCCCCCCACCCCCCACCCCCGTGACCTTCTTAGAACATCTGCCCCCACAGAGGGCACGTGTGGAAGCAGAATTTTCACAGCCACTCAGGTCATAACTCTAACTTAAATACTTTTCATTTAAAAATATTTATTAAAATAAAGATTAAACCTGAAAAAATGAATTACCAGAATGCAGCCCTTTGCATAGTACTTCAAGAATCAGAAAAGAAGAAAAGAAAAGAAAAGAAAAGGGGAGGGAAAAGAGAGGGGAAGGGAGGCATAAGAAAATCTCTGATCTTCCCAGACAGCAGGGAGGAGGGAGAAGACTGCCCGCCCTCACCAAAGCCAGCAGAGAGCTGTGGAAGGTTCTCTGGTCTTAGGACTTGCTGGTCCAGAGAAGTTTCCACCAGAGCAGAGGCCCAAGAGTCACAGACACCAAGCCCAGAGACCAGATTTCCCCAAGGGTGTGTAAACTTCAGGAATTTGACTGGAGAACTGGAATTTAGGAACAGTATTCTGAAAGCCTGCAAAGTCTGAAGAGGCAGAAGCCAGGCCCAGAGCCTCTAACTGCCCTTGGACGCCACGATCTGCTGGACGTAGTTGACTACATTGCTGTGGAGCTGGGGGGCAGTGGCCTCGAAGGTCTCCTTGGCAAGGGTCTGGGCCACCTCGCTGCCAGCCATCATTGCGTGGTACAGCGGAAGAGTGTACTTCTGCTTCCCCTGCAAGAAACACACACACACCCGTGGCCTGAGCAGCCTGCTCAGTGAGTCGGCACAGCCCCCGGTCCCGGGGCCGCTCCAACAGCAGGCCTCAGCAGGTGCCAAAGGGGATGTGGGTAGCAGCGCTAGAATAAGGAGGCTCCCAGACAGGCGTGCTCTTATTCTGGCATCTTCTTGGGGCCAAAGATCCCTGCAGGTAGATCTTCGTATTCACTCCAATCCATGCTAGCACAGGGGTGTCTACACTCATTTTTTTTTTTTTAAGTAGGCTCCCCAGCGTGGAGCCCAACACGAGGCCTGAACTCACGACCTAGATCAAAACTGAGCTGATAGCAAAGGCTGCCGCCCATAAAACTGAGGGCCGCTGTGAGGCCCAACTGCAGGCAAGCACAAGAAAACCCACAAGTCAAATTCACACCCATGTGAGAAAGCTACATCACAAAGCTCCTCAACTCCAGAGGCTTGGAGAAGCCTGCAGAAGGCTCACAACACCTCCAGACAGGAGCGCAGCTCCCACCGCAAACGGATGAGGGCATCCGAGCGCTGCTTTGGACCCAGCCCCATCCTGCCCTGGGCTCTGAGGCGCTCCGCCCCTTCCCCAGCAGAGCCGCTCTCACGGGGCCCTCCCAGGTCCCGGGCTTCCCCAGGAAGCAGGAACCTATGATCTTACCCTTCACTCACCTCTCTTGTCCTTGGGCCCCTCTCCCCAAGACCAGCCCTCGAGTCCCGCTTTACCCTTCTTCCCAGTTTGGGGTTAGCTCTGACCAGCTTGGACCCTTCAGGCCTTACCTGGTGATCTGCAAAAAGCTCCCCAACCCCGGAGGCTTCTTCCCGCCATGGGAACACCTCCCCCAGCCACACTCAGGAACCAGACCACTGCGCTGGGTCCTCTCCCTTCCCCTCCCTCCTCTGCTCCACAGAAGAGCACACGGGGAGGCTCGACCCACGGGACTATGGAGAGTAGGGCGAGGCGGCCCACCGTGTGGGGGTCACCCACCTGGCTCTGCAGGAATGCCTTCACTTTCCAGAAATCCTCCTGGTGGTCATTCTTAAGGACAATCTGGCCCCATCGGAGCCGGAGCTCCGCGTTCTGGGAGTCTGAGATCTTTGGGTATGTCTCTCTGAGGGTCTCCACGTTCCCTGAAGAAAGAAAACGGGTTTTTAATGGCTGTGTCATCAGAGACACGAGTGTGTCTGCCCACAGGCCTTCCTGAAAGCCCCCAGGATGACGTCATGGAGGTTCCCAACCACCCCCTTTACACTCATCCTGCTCATCTTATTCTCTGGAAGGGCGCTGTCCGATCCTTAAGTTTACCTTCATTTCTAAGGCTCTTCCACCAAACTTCCCTTACTGTAATTACAGACTTTCTGCCATCATCCCACTTACCTTCCAGGTTAAAAGCCCAGGTATCCCCCTAAAACATGCTGCGCACCCCCCCCCCCTTTTCTCCCACCACCACTAAGCTGCTGAAAGTTCTCCTGCCTTTCACGGGTTCTCTTCCCAGCACCTCCGGGTGAATGTTATTTCTGGCTGAGCAGCCACGCAGCAAGAGTGGGGGCTATTTGTGCACAAGCTCATCCTCCATTCCCTGGGGGTCACAATCACAGCCCCCAGGCACGGAGCGGTCAAGAGGACTCAAAGGAAGACTTCGATGTGAAGAGCTGAGAAGAATCACCTGCAGAACTCGAGGGCACAGCAAGCGCTAGGCATTAGGATTCTCTTCCTAACCTGTGTGCAGGACTCACAGCAGCTGTTGACGTGTTCACCTTGAGGGGCTTGCATCCACTTGCCAACCCCTGGCAGCTGCCGAGGGGTGAGCCCTGCCCCTGATATCAAGCTCTGTACACAAGGGACCTTGATATGATGCGTTGATTTACCCCACTTTTTCTTACCGGGAGGGAGAGGGGATTTCTGGAGGATCTTATCGAGGAAATACACCAGCTGGTAGGTCTTCCAGGCAGAAATGGCCACAGCTTCAATGGCCTTCATGTCCAGCTCCTTGGCCACCCATAGCTGGGCCAGCTCTTCAGCGGGCTTCATAAGTGAGTCCCCAGGGGAGAGGTCAGGGAGGTAGGGGGGCCAGCCCGGGGTATTCAACCACCGATCAAACTCAAAACCTGTTTGGTGGAAGGAGAGGGGGCTGTCAGAATTCTCTGGCAGCTTCAAGGTCAACTTGGCTCCAGCAACACCTAGATCGCAAGCTCCTGTCTGCGTCTCTCGATCCCAAACTGCTTCTCTAATTTTAACATCACTTTCTCACAGAACTACCTGCTCCGGTCGGGTCTCACTAATACTGAGACCCAGAGATTGTTATTGTCAGACTGGATGGCCCCTTTTTCTACTGTGACAGTCGTTTTGATTAACACTGGGCTGCCAGAACCAAGTGGATGGAGGCTTTCCTAGCTTTAGTCAAGTTCACGTTCTCCTTCAGATGAGAACAGCATGGTGTTGAAGCTCCTGGGCCCGGGGGCCAGGCTGCCTGGGCTCCTATCCCAGCCCTGCCATGAACTAACTGGGAGGCCACGGGCATGTTACTTCGCCTCTCTGCGCCTCCGTTTTATCTGTAAAATGATAAAAGGCAAGAGGCCCTGCATGTGTTGGTAGTGGTGAGGATTAAATAAGCAAATACACAGTACGAGTCTAGCATGCTGCCTGGTGCGTAGTGAGCACTCAGTAATTATTAACTTTCATTAGCCAGGGAGTCTCGTGACCTTCAAGTGCAGACCTCCAAGCACAGGGTAGGTGCCCCAGGCCTGACCAGTCCCAGCTGTCAGGGGACGTGAGTTTACCAGACCAATGATGGCCTGACTCAGAGTACCCAGCAGAAGTGGGGTGTCTCCAGGGGCAGCCTCATCCACGACAGGCCACCGTCTCCTCTCTCTTAGGGCCTCCCAAGCCGAAATCAGGGCGGCCACCGGGATTTGGCTTCATTCAGAAGGCCGTATGGGGCAACTCCATGCTTGCAAGGCGGGGCGGCTGCCGGTACCGCGGGCCTGGGTCATAGCTGGGGCGGCGGCAGCTCTCTGGGCAGAGTCGGGGGTCTGGTTATGTGTGTGTACGTGTGAGGAAAATGGGGACACAGAGGAGACACTGAGGGGAAAAAGTGGAGAAAACGAGGCCAGGAGGAGCGGAGAGAAATCATTCCTGTGGAACAAGGCCTGGGACCCTGGATGTGCGCCCCTAGGTGCCACTTACTGGAGGACTTGGATTTCGTATTTTCCCGCCCCACTTTCAGTCTTCCTGGATATAAATCAGACATAATTCTCTATCATCTCCCAGGAGCCTTAAGCCAGCTCCTCTGCTCACCTGGAATGGACTCCACATTCTTTTTCTTCAGCTCAGGGAAGTATTCCAAGTAGAATTCTAGAAAGTCCTCAGCTAAGATACTTTGGAATTTGAATTCATTAACATAGGCCTGCAGGGAGGGAGGTACTTTTCAGTCATGCTGGATCCTGTGGGGAGTACAGTCCCTCCGTGCCTCAGGTCCTCCTCCAACCCCTGTCCCTTCGGCCCCCGTCTCTACCCCTGAACTCTGGCCCGGCTGGCTTCTCGGCGCCTCCTTCTCCCATCTCTGAGTCGACTATACCTTGAGAAAATTGTCAAATTGATCCTGATCACCCACCAAGTGGGCCAGGTATGAGACAAAGCAGAAGCCTTTCTCGTAGGGAGTCTCGTTGTAGGTATCATCTGGGTCCACACCTAGCAGAGAAAGCAGACACTTGTAACCTGTCACTTTGTTGTCCTTCTCCAGCTCCAGATTCTACAAGTAATTATGGATGAGATCAGAATTCAGCTTCCTCGGATTTAGCAAGGCCAAGAAAGTTTCCAGATCCACCTTGGCCTCTCTCAAGCCACTTCAAAGTTGATCTTAAAGGGTCATTAACTACGGATCTAACAAGAAGACAAAGAACCAGCCTTCCTGGGGAATTGGCAAGTTTCCTTATTCCTGGGATTGCTTTGCTCCAGTGGGTTCCATGGACTCTTAGGACTGAGCACAGGGCTTGGTGCCTTTTCCAGCCCAACTGGTCACCACCTCCACTCAACCTCCCCTCCCAGAACAAGTGGTTGTTTCTACAAATGTTCTAGACCAAAATAAACGAATGACCAGTCTACAAGAAGTTCATTTTCATGGTCACTGGCATCAAGGAACGTGAGCTTAAATCACACACAAAGGTTTTAGATTAGTCATACATGGAACTAAAGAAAGATGTCAGAAAATAAAAACACATGACCTTGGACAAGTCATTTGACTTATTGGGCGCTCACTCACGTCCTCTGTAAAATAAGCGGTCAATCTACAAGACCACAGGTCTGACTTGATAGAAAAAGAATGGCAAAGAGCCCTGG